CTCCAGAGAGCTGGTTGGTACAGCACACCACAATCCGGTATGTTTCTCCCATTCATTTGCCCATCTTGTTCTAGGTTAGCCTGCGAGCCACAGCTCATCTTTCCTGTAATTTCCGTTCCCTGGTTCCTTGACCCCCTGGAGCCCTGACCCAACCAGCAGACCAGCTCCTGAAATTCTGCCTCATTCATTGCTCTCTGCACAGCCCCTTCAGAAAAACAAGACCCTGCTCCGGGGACCAGAGAGAGGCAAACCCCAAGCCAAGCCGGCCCTGCATGCTCATGTGGTAGTTGTGGCTGCCCCCCTACCCCCAGCAGGCGCCTCTGTCACTCTGAGGACAGGGTCCTGGGCCTCCCAGACCGGCCCCATGCCTCTGGACAGTGCATCCATAGGGGAGCTTGTCAGCATTATCTGCAGGGGTGCTCCCTGCAGTGGCCCCCGTCCTTCCCACTCTTGACTTCCCAGAGGTTTGCTGTTGGACATGGAGGCAGGTAGTTTTCAGTTTATAATTCAATAAGTTACTTTTTGGCATCTTGCAAAAAGGGCCAGGAGCTCCATAGACAAGGTTGGGTAAGAAAGGGCATTAGTGCCGGGACTGGAGCAGAGGCCCAGGGACAGGCTAAGGCGTGGCCACAGTGTGTCAGTCCTTCTAAATCCCAGGTGGGTACTAAGCACCTGTTGGTAAGGATCCTGGGGTGAGATCCTTGAGTCCATAATAGTTATTTTTCTTTCCCTGCCTGCCCTGCCCCCAGCATTGGTGGTATTTTTTTTAAATCTACCTCCAAAAGGCACACATGAATGCCAAACCCAGTTCTAAGCTGCTGAGTTTCAACTTTAGGCATGGCTGGATCTAGGGGCTTAACATCATGTCATGGGAGTATTTACACCATGAGAAACAAGTTCTCTGTCTTGGCACTACTGTCCTCTCTGAGGTGACTTTACTCTGCTAGAAAATGTAGTCTTATTTTAAGTCTCTGGGCAACGCTGTGGAACCAAATCTTCCCAAGGTGAACGAAAGTCTTGGAAGTACCCTCACTGTCCAGGGTTGGGTGATGGGCCCATCCCTGGAGCTGGAGTGAAGTCAGGGCTCAGCCCCACATACTGGAGGAAGAACATGTCCCCAGAGGAAAATCAGGGAGCCATTACTTAAAGAAGGAGAGAGAGAGAGATGTGCTAGGCAGGGAACGCACTAGATGTTTCCAACAGCATAAAACGGAACAAGGTCAGACCCTCACCCCCGACTTCTAAACCCGAAACCCAGCCAGGGCACTGCCTGTGAGAACTGGTCAGTGAATGTGGCGGCAGGCAGAGACAGGGAGGAGTGTGGCCATTCCAGCGCCCTTCTGGCCTTGGTGTGGGACATGAGTTCTCTGGGGTGGGCCCAAGAGCTTTAAAGAAACTTGCTGGTTTCTATGACTCAGAGTTACTGGGAATCTCAGAGTATCTCCTACCCTAATAATAACAGCAATACGTAAGTCTTGCTCCCCTTCTCCATCCTTCTGTAGCCACTCTTTGTCTCTCATCTCCTTTTCACAGACAAACTTCTGAAAAGCAGATTCCTTCACCTTCCAGTGGCCTGTCCTCAGAGTGCCGCGTCTCTCCTCACTCCTCCACCCCACCGCGGAGGTCGATCTTGGCAACAGTCACCTCCACAGCACTCATAGTGCCCAGCTACTTCTTCCCCCTACTTTTCTTATGAGCTCAGCGTGAAGGGTGCCTCTCTCAGGAAGCCTTCCCCAAGTCCCTCCTTCCTGCCCCCAAAACATACCCAGGGCCCTGGACTCACCCCTGTCATAGGGCTTATTAAATTTTATTATGTTCATCTGTTTTTTTACCTGTCTACCTAAGAGCAGGAGCTGTGTTTTCAGCCCCGCCCTAGTGGGTTGACCAGTGTCCACGCTGAGGAAGCCTCAGAGGAGAGTGAAGTGTTGGTGGGAATGCATTTGCTGCTTCATATGCTATCCCAGCTTGTTCCTTCTGAGGGTTTTTTTAGAGGACTGTGACCCCTAGTATTATCTGTCTGCTCCTTCCTTCCCCACCATCCCTCTGTGAGTTTGTCATACTATGGTGGCTTGCGTGTTGCCATGATGCTGGAAACTGTGCCACCAGTGTTTCAAATAGCATCAGGATCGCCCCTGGTGGACAGGTTTCAGCAGAGCTTCCAGATTAAGACAGACTAGGAGAAAAGACCTAGAGATCTATTTCTGAAAATTAGCTAATGGAAACCCTATGGATCCCAACAGAATATTGTTCTCTATGTTGCTGTCAGATGAGCTGTCTAGGTTGGAAGGCTCTCAAAATCTACAGTGGCCTCCACAATGGAGTTAATGATGGTAAGATGGTGCAGGATCAGGCAATACTTTGTTCTGTTTTATGTGGGGTCCCCATGAGTCAGAGCTGACTCAGTGGCAACTAACAACAAATTCCCACCAGCTTGCTCTGATTCCTGAAACCAAATACATGCTTGTGCAATCTACAGAGACGTTGAAAGAACAGTACAATGAACACCCATCCACCCTTCACCCAGGTTCACAAATGGTTCACATAACCAAATGTATTTGAGGTTATGAGTTCACTGGAAGCTTAGGAAATCTATGAAATTAGTTATTTTCGTAAGACTACAGAACGTAAGACCTTATAGCAATTAGAACCTGGAATTTGTTCTCTTTGAGAACAAGCCTTACATTTTCACATTGCAGCATTTTTTATAAAAATCTAGACTGATGCTATAGTCTAAGAATGTGGGAATTAGAAACGGGTGGTAATGAGAGTCCTGGGTTTAAATTTAGGTTCAGGTCTCCACTCTACAATGTGATAGCTGTGAGACTTTAGGCAAGTTACTTAACCTCTCTGTGCCCCATTTCCTCATCTGCAAAATGACTAAAACAATCCTTGACCTTATAGGGTTGTTGGGAAGATTAAATGGGTAAAAGTCTATGAAGGACCTAAGCCAGAGAATGAGCACCTTAAATGGTGGTTTACAGGTGGTGGAGGAAGAGAAAAAGGAGAAGAAATTGTGGGTATCCCAAACTTCTCACCTCCCCTTAGTAGCCAGGAAGTTTCAATAGCGGGTAGAATTTCTCGAAAGGAAACAGATTCTGTTCCAAGTGGTGGAGCTTTCCCTTTCTTCAGCCTTCCCTGGAGTCCTGTAATCCTCCCCCACTCACTGCGCACAGCCAGCCGGGATGGAGACCCTGATTGGAAGTCTCTCTGGCTGGAAAGCAGCCCTTCCAGCTCCTCTCTTGGTTCCTCCAAGAGTCATGAGCACGCATCTCTTCTGGGTTTGCCAGGAGAGCACGCTGGGCAGGAGCAAGCATTGGGACCATATTGTCCTGCCCGGCATCACGCAGCTGGTTATGGAGTGACAGGGTGCTAACCCCAGCCTGGAGCTGATGAATTCAGGGTTAACCGAAACCCAAAAAGGGGTTTCAACTCTCAATATTCACGGTGTGTATTAAAGGTGGGCATCTAACCAGAGAATAGAGAATAACCTGACTTTGGTGATGTGAACTGAATGGTGTCCTAAAGCGACTGAAAGCAGTGGTGGGTGTCAGGGAACCCAGCTGTGCGAGGAGGGAGCGTGGGCACTGGGCTGAGGGTGCCCGGGAGTCTCTTTATCTTTTGAAAGACTTGCTATCACCTCTTAGCTTGTCATCTGCCACCTTCTCCTGGATGCCAAAATACGCTCCAATGGGATTTTTTCTAAAAACAAAACAGAACTCCACTGCACGGTGCCCTCCTCATGAGAACGACATGGTCTCCAAACCTAAGTAAAGGGACAAAAGCTAACATAGTCATTGCTGAACACTTCAGAGTTAAATCTATATATCTTGCATGAAAAACTAAGTCTTTGATTATGACCAATCAGCAAAATGCTGGTTCCCAAAGACAGGTGTGAAAGACTACATATTGTATAATTCCGTTTACGTGAAGTGTTCAGAGTAGGCAAATCCATGAAGACAGAAAGTAGATTAGTGGGAGTTTGGGGGGAGAAATACAGAGTGACTGCAAATAGGCATGGGGTTTCTTTTTTAGGTGATGAAAATGTTCTACAGTTGATTGTGGTGATGGTTGCGCAGCTTGGTGAATAAACTAAACACCGCCGAATTGTACACACTTAACGTAAATTGTATGGTATGTAAATTATATCTCAATAATGCTGTTATTTAAAAAAAAAAAAATGCTGGTTCCCTCTACCATCTACCTCCTCACATGCGTTTGTACTGAGTGGATGTGTAAGGAGCAAACCTGCAAACCTCACCCCCGGAGAGTGGTGTGTATGGGAGCGTACCCCACCACACTTGGTGCTCCACCAGCCCAGCATCTGCCAAGCATTACTGCCGCATCTGTGGGGCTGCTCGGAGTTCAAAACACAGATACCTAACAGAACAACAATTGTTCCTTAGCTAGCATAGAAGTATCAAATCCTTAAGAGATGTTTGCGTTAGGCTGCCTTCCTTAAAAAGCCCCAGGTAGGTAACAGTAAGGAGTCTTTGGGTGGTACAGGTAGTTAACACATTCAGCTGTTAACCAAAAGCCTGGCAGTTCGAATCCACCCAGAGGCTCCTTGGAAGAAAGCCTGGCAATGTACTTCTGAAAAATTAGCCATTGAAAACTGTATGGAGCACAGTTCTGTTTTGACACACATGGGGTCACCATGCATCAGAATATACTCGACTAGCAACTGGGAAAAAAAAAAGATAATAGTAAAAGGAACTAATGTCTTGTACACATGAAAATAGGATTGATTCATCAGACAGAAAATCATCTACTCTGTATTTGATTGGGCTATGGTCGTTTCCATTCTCTGCCTTCCTCCTGCACCTCCAGTGTTCTGATTGCGTTTGAGGCAAGGAGCCCATGACAGAAGGTGCAATGATCACGGCTGTCCTTCCTGGGGGGAGCCTCCGCGTCTTAAACTCTCCTCCCCTCAGGACACCCAGATGCCCTGTAAGAAAGTCTGAGTTGCTGTCTCATTCCATCCTATATGATTTTCTATCTAGCTCTCAAAGACACCAGTAAGAGATCCATCAACAGCGACTGGAAGATCGAGCTCCCAGGAGAGTTTCAGATTGCTGGCACAACCGTCCGCTACGTTAGAAGGGGCCTGTGGGAGAAAATTTCTGCCAAGGGACCAACGAAAATACCACTACATCTGATGGTAAGTCAGTGCGCGCTTTCATTTGTCTCAGGAGTGATGGCTCATGGAGGCCGACCAGTTCACCTTTCCCTGGGGCCTTGGGATTGGGGGAGATACATGCATTCTGGTTCCTGGTGTTTTACAGGGCTACTTGCTGCTTAGACGTCCCTCTTGGCCAGCTCTTATCCCATCCCCTTCACTGCATGCTTTAGAATTCCCCTCTGGAACCGTCCCTGTGGCTCTTGGCTGGCAGAGCTCCCATCTTGTTCAGGAGGAACTGCCTTCAGGAAGGAAATGTTTGGCCGTGTGGCAGCCAGGAAGACTCGGCCTCATTAGCAGGCGGCCCCGCTCAGAGCCTGCGCTGTTGTATCAGATGGCAGGGTGTGCAGATCTGCCCCACAATTGGCACCTCCACATTAGAAACTACCTTTTGGAAATGAATTGTTGACTCTATTTCCAAACCAATATCACTCAACTTTTCCAGGCTCGGCTTGCAACAAGCGTTTGGAAATCAGGAAGAAGAGCCAGGCTGGCCATGTGTATTTACTTCCCTGGTGGTCCCTTGAAATGTGTAATCTTTTATCTCATTTGTCGTCTCAGGAGAGGAGTCCCTGGGTGGCGCAAAGGGTTAAGTGCTTGACTACTAACCAAAAGGTTGGCAGTTCAGACCCACCCAGAGGCACTGAAGAAGAAAGTCCTGGCAGTCTGCTTCCAAAAGGTCACAGTCTTAAAAACCCTGTGGAACCCAGTTCCACTCTGCAACAGGTGGGGTCACCATGAGTGGTAATTGACTTGATGGCAGCTGTTTTGGTTTTGTCTCAAGAGGCACTCTGTGCAAGCTGCTTAAACATCTGATCATTCATCCTTTTAAAAACATTACAGACCTCCGAAGAAAAAAATACCACCATTTTTTTCGTAGGGTCCAGGAGTTCTCGGGGCTGACTTCTGATGGTTCATAATTATTGATTCTGTATCTTGTTCCAAAGAACAGGATATGTGGCAGCTTTTGTGTCTGTAATCAAAGCACATTTTGTCCTCAAGACTTGCCAGTGTTTCTGCTTGGAAGCTCTTTTTCCCCCATTAATTTGTGGTTTCTGGCAACCTGCAGCTGTTCAAGTTAGGTGACACCTGAAAGTCTCTCTGGCCACCTCCCAGGGATCTCCTGCAGAGACTGGCTCTGCCCCTCAGCACAGCACCATCACCCCATCACCAGAGGCTGCCCCGTGATGGCACTCACCCCATAGCAATTTCCCACGAGATGTAACCAAGCCAGTGTCCAGGAGATACATTGCAAAGATGTTCTTGCAAGTTGATTTCTAGTACCAAGAACCTGTACCTGAGCCATTTCTCTGTGATAAGATTGTCTCCATCGAGTCGACCCCTACTCATGGCAACCCTGTGTATGTCAGTGTAGAGCTATGCCCCATAAGGTTTTCAATGGCTGATTTTTTGGAAGTAGATTACCACGCCTTTCTTTGGAGGTGCCTGTGGGTAGACTTGAACCTCCAACCTTTCTGTTAGCAGCCGAGCGAGTTAACCTTTTGCATCACCCAGGGACTCCTAGTCATTAGAACAGATCTTCCTGTTCTGATTTAAAAACAGTTATTCAGAGGAATTAAACGAGGAGACAAAAGATAAAACCTGTATAGAAACATCACCACTTAGCGCGTGAATTTGCTTTTTCTAGCAAACACCAAGATGGGTATACTTTCCTTCTTTACAAAAAAAAAAAAAAACTTTTTAAGCTGAGCAAAGCATCAGCCTATGAAAGCAGTCACAGCCTGGATTCATTTGGACGATGATAAACAAAACCCAGAGAAAGCAAGTGCTGTTGTTGAAGTTCCAGCCCTCATTTAATAGTAATCGCCTTTCTTGAAATAGGATTGGTACTTTAAGTTGTTAAACCTAGAAACGAAGAGGGACGGTGCCCCTCTGCCTCTAAATAGAAAGCTATCGTCCCCACACTGGGGCATACACATTGCTTGCAGAGTCAGGAGCACCGGGGAAGCCGCAGAGACCTGCATTTGAAACCAATTACACACATGCACACACAAATTGTACGTGGCTACAAAATTGCATGAAATTGGTTTCATATGGATTCTCGATTCACCAGTCTTATTCCCATACTGAGATAATAAAGATCTCTTTTAAAGCATAGTTTTTTTTTTTCTTTTTAAACTGGAGGCATTTTTCCAAATGTGTTACTGCAAGTATATATCTTGCAGAAGTGGCTGCTTATACACTTAGGTCTGCTCTTAGTGCCCCGGCCCCCACCCAGCAACCTAAGCCCCTGGAGGGCTGAGAGTTGCTCCGGAAGGAAGTCGCTCCCTTTCTCCAGCACTTTCCACCTGACCTGCCCTGCATGCTCCACTTCTAGCTCCTGCTGGCTTGTCCGCCCGCCCGGGACCTCTCTGGCTGGCTGGGAGGGAAATTGCTAGCTGCTTAGACCCAGGAGCACACATGGGTTGTTACCTCAGCCAGAAGACACACAGTCCACAAGCAGGCCACTTAGAAGTCCTACCGAGGGCTTGTTCTGACCCAGTAGGCTGGATACACACCTGCTGTCCTTACAGGGCTGGTTACATATGTTACAAAAGAACCTGTCACTCCGCGCACTCCGCTTGGATTGCAGATGACTCCCACACCCCCACTGCCATCTTTAAGCCCTGAGTTGGCCTTTGGCACGCCAGGAGCACAGCCATCGTCCAAGCTCCCACAGCAGCAGGAATCGCATCTCTCCAGAGACCTCAGGGAAGGCTTATGCATCTTGGGCCCCAGACAGACTTCCCCAAGGCTCCCCTGTGGTGGGTGTATTTTGCCTATGAGCCTGCGTTCCCCTGACCTCTCTGGACCAACTCTCACCGCATGGCAATGATGAGGGATAGGGTAGTGAAGGGCGATGTTCATCTTTAAAGATGTAGAAGAACGCTACCTGCTCAGATGCCTGTCTAGGTAAAAACAGCACACCTGTGTTTTTCTTGTCTGCAAAGGCAGCCACACGGGTGAGCAAGTGGACCATATGCTTCTCTCTGCGTGTAGCAGCTCCCCAAGTAAAGCATGGTTAAAACACGAGTTGCCATTGAGTCTATTCTGACTCATGGTGACCCCATGTGTGTCAGAGTAGAACTGTGCTCCATAGGGTTTTCAATGGCTGATTTTTCAGAAGTAGATTGCCAGGTCTTTCTTCAGAGGCACCTCTGGGTAGACTCAAACTGCCATCCTTTAGGTTAGCAGCTGAGTGCATTAACTGTTTGTACCGCCCCCCCCCAAAAAAAATGTGCCATCGAGTTGATTCTGATTCATGCTCCATAGGGTTTTCTTGTCTGTGGTCTTTACAGAAGCAGATCACTGGGCCTTTCTTCCAGGGCAGCACTGGTTGGGTTTGAACTGCCAACCTTTAGATTAGTAGTGGAGCATTAACTGTTTGTGCCACCCAGGGACTCCAGCTGCTCCTCCCTAGTCTAAGCTGGTCCTCTGTCTAGCAGGAAAGACCCTTTTTGAGGGTTGTATATGCCTTGCCCCCAAGAATTCCAAGGCTGAGATAAAGGCACACCCCTAGATTGAATCTGCTTTGAAGCCTAGGAAGGAGGGGATGGCCTCTGGTAGAGAAACAGCCACAGTGGGGCTTGGTTTGCAAATTCAGCAGCCCTGTGGGCTTTCGCTCCATTTCAAACTGGCCTTTTATTTTGCTGCTGATCCAGGTGTTGTTATTTCACGACCAGAGTTACGGAATTCATTACGAGTACACAGTTCCTGTAAACTATACTGCGGAAAATCAAAGTGAACCAGAAAAGCCCCAGGACTTGCTGTTCATCTGGACCCACAGCGGCTGGGAAGGGTGCAGCGTGCAGTGTGGAGGAGGTGAGCCGCTGGGGGCCTTGCTGAGGGAAGGAGAAGCGTGTTCAGGATGCTTGGGCCAGCTGGGAAAGACGGGCTCTGTAAACCACATTCCTGTGGGAACTTAGTCACATCCCACTGAGAACCTCTGCACAACTCTTGGGCAGAGTCTCCCAAATCCCCACGCATTGGGGTCATCCCCACACTGCTGTGTGGCCCTGGACATGGGCCTTGGTGCTAACTGTGAATGGAGGCTTGGCCGGGGGATGGCTGCACCACAGGTGTGCCTAGGCTGACCCTAGGAATGACTGGAATACAGACCTTCACCTGGCGCCATTGGTGGAGGTGCACTAGAGACTTCTCTGCCCCCAAATAATTTGTTCCTTTGCCCCAGTAACCAAACTTCATGAAGCAGTGGGAGGAAAACGTCCTGCAAGTTGGGTGAAATGTCTTGAGCCTGAGACCTGGAGCCACGGTTTCCCACTGGACCTTAGCCAGTGACTGACTGGCCTCTCTAAGCCTGAATTTCCTCCCCTCTAGACTGCGGTGATCAGACTGTCCGCCTGCTGCAGGGGCTGCAGGGTGGGCCAACGGCACTGCTGGCTGCAGAGAGTGATCTCAGCTAAAGCAGTAGACTCATCAGTGGGTTATTTCGTATAATCCAGCTTGTCACCTTAGCAGGGTGCACAGCAGGGCCGTGGGAGAGGGGACACAGGAGGGCTCGATTTTGTTGGGTACAGAGTTGGGAAGGAAGTCTGACCTGGACTCTGGAATGCAACCCAGAGACTGGGCTGGCAGGTAGACACTGAGCATGGCCCCACCCCGCCCCGATCCTGAGAGGCTGTTTACTGCCAAGATGACATTTGTCAGCTATCCAATATGTAGAGGATTGTTGTTCATTTAAGTGACCTGTCCCTTTTCTAATGGGTTAGACTTATAGCCATTGCATGACTAAGCCCATTAGACACTGCCAGGGACAGCTGTGAATTCCTTCTGTCTCCTGCTCATCTTGGCTGACTGTCCCCACTGTTTGTCCTCAGCCTCTTTCTCAGGCAGTCCCGCGGAGGTTGGTATGACCTCAGATGCCACGTCAGCCCACTGTCCTCTCACTCTGCACCTCTCCCTGAGAGGCCTCGTCTCCCGTAGACCTTCAGCTGCCCCTCTGTGCTGAGGGGCCTCCAGCCTCCAAACCCAGCAAGACCCATACCCCTGGCCACAACCGGGCTTTTGCACTTGAGTATCTTGCTATAAACTGAGCATAGTCAAATGCGACAGTCAGCAGGCTCCCCTGGACTGGGGGCCTGTCCTCCTGCTGTCACTTCTGGCCAGGTGACATGCTTATATGACACCATGACTCCCAGCACAGCTGTCAGACCTGCTGCCCAAAGTTGAAATCTGGCTTGAGGCCACTCCATGCTGTCCTTACTCATTCCCGGCTGCAGTGACAGGCAGTAGGAGGCTGACAGTGTGGTCCGGACTCCATCATGTTGAGTCATCTCCATGCGAAGCATCTGCCAGGAGACAGACCCAGCAAGGAGTCTGGGATCCACAGAGTTGTGTCTGATATCTTGTTAATCTTCTCAAAATATAATAATAACATCATATAGCTAACATTAATGCCACCCACCCCCCAGGCTCTGTTCTAAGCACTTTATGTGTCAGTTGATTTTGACCGTCACGGAAATGCCATACAGCATGGGGAAGTTAAGTAAACTAGCCTGTTTGAGGAAACTAAGGCACAGAAGGCTTGGTAGCTAACCTGAGATGATGCTTTTAGCCATTGATAGAGGACATGGCTCCGGAGGCCACTGTCTTAGCTCCCAGTCATTTGGCCTTCCTGACAAAGTTGTGGTCAACACCCAAGAGACACACTGGGCTACATCCAGTGGGGAGTTAGGGAAGCTTCCCAAGAACAGGTGATGCTTAAGCATAAGTAGCAGTTGGCTGGCTGGAGAAGTTCTTGGATTGGTTCTGGAATCGCTGCCTGGAGGATATGAGACTGTGTGTCCTCTGGACAAGCCTCCCTGTCCATCGCTTCTCCCAGCAAGTGGGCATTCTGTAGTAGGAAGTTGTGCTGTCTGATGAGGATTGATGTGTTATCAACTAATAACTATAGTTATTAGTTGCCATTAAGTCACCTCCGACTCATGACGACCCTATGTACAACAGAAAGAAATGTTGACCAGTCCTGTGCCATCTTCACAGTCGTTGGTAAGCCAAAGTCCATTGTTGTGGCCACCATGCATTTTGAGTGACTTCCAAAGTAGGGGGCTCATCTTCCAGCACTATATCAGACAATATTGCGTTGTGATCCCTAGGGTTTTCACTGGCTAATTTTTGGAAGTAGATGGCCAGGCCTTTCCTCCTGATCTGTCTTAGTCTGGAAGCTCAGCTGAAACCTACAGGTTGATCCACCATGGGTGACCTGATGGTATTTGAAATACTGTGGCATGGCTTCCAGCATCATAGCAACACACAAGCCACCACAGTACAACAAACTGACAGACGGGTGGTGGGAGGACTGATGTACAGGTATTTAATATCTACACAGACTACATAGACTTAAACATCAAACAAACAAATAACAAGATAGGCAAACTTTGGTGCCATTTAAAGATCCCAGTCAGAACTTTGGATCCCATGACTCCCAAGTTGTCCAAGGACACAGCTGATCTGAGGTGGCGCCACTTTCTGACCCTGTTCTAGAATCTTTCTCCTGCCCCATGCTGCCCAGCCATGACTTACACGTCCTCATCTCCCTAAGATCACAGTTCTCCCTCTCTGACAACCGGTAAGCATTAGGACAGTCACTTTAAATGACAAACTGATCAAAAGTGTGCTTGTAAGCATGAGTGGCCTTTCTGGTTTGTGTGGCCCATCCTCTCAGCTCCCTGTGGTTTGTTTTCCAGGGGAACGCAGAACTATTGTGTCTTGCACGCGGATTGTTAACAAGACCATGACCCTGGTGAACAACAGTGACTGCCCTCCAGCAAGCCGCCCAGAGCCCCAGGTCCGGAGGTGCAACTCACACCCGTGCCAGTCATGGTAAGAAGCTTGCTTCTGTAGCTTGGATCCCTCGGGCTTCGGGGCAGTACTACCCATGAGTGGGGAGACAGAAACACACCGTTTATACCACAGTACCATCCTATGCCAAAACATTGCACTTCTGGCTGCTGAGCTGGAACCAGTAGCCATCAAGTTGATTCCAACTCATGATGAGCCCATGTGTTTCAGAGTAGAACTATGCTCCATAGGGTTTTCAATGGGTAATTATTTGAGAAGTAGATCACCAGGCCTTTCTTCTAAGGCACCTCTGAATGGATTTGAACCACCAACCTGTTGGTTAGTAGCTGAGTGTTTAGCCATTTGCACCACCCAGCAACTCCTGCTAAGCCAGAACTCTGATGGAAATGTACAGTCCTAGCTGGAAGGCATCATACAGGAGACCATTAACAACATCCCCTGAGAAAAAAAATAGCCATTGCCACACCCTTACAACTGGTACATGTCAGCTCCCTCATATTACTTTGCCTTGGAGAAAAGGGAAATAAATGTTATAGCGTGAGCACCGTTGAATAGGAACGCACACAAGTTTGGTGTTTGTGGATGACCAATTTCACTGTCTGTAATGAACACCAGTGAGTGCAGATCTTGGTGTTGATTGTTTGGAATCCATCAGAATTCTGTTCCCAGCCCCAGCTTTCATGGCCATGTTTCTCAAGTGCTCTGAAGTGAATTCTCTTGGATTGTCAGCCAAGAGGAATTGTGGGAAATGTGTTCATCAGGGAAGCCTCTTTATTTATAGTAGTTTGAGGGGGGCTTGGTGTAGTATTATAACTCTGCTACGTTGTGCAATGTCACCCCTTGGCTTCTTGTTGTGACCTGAGATGAGGTGAGTGGCTTTTGTTCTTTGGTGTTATATGTGATGCTTAGGTACACTTACCTTTTGTAACTAGGCTGCTCTTTTTTTTTTTTTTTTTTTAACATTTTATTGTGTTTTAGGTGAAAGTTTACGTAGCAAATTAGTTTCCCATTCAACAGATTGTACACAAATATTCCATGATATTGGTTGCAATCCCCACACTGTGTCAGCACTCTCCCCATTTCTGCTCTGGGTTCCCCATTTCCTTTCATATGGTTTTCCTTCCCCTTCCTGCCTTCTCATCTTTACTTTTGGGCAAATGTTGCCCTGTAGGTCTCATATAATTGTTTTGTTCTACAGAGCACTTTCTTTTTGAGTGTTATTGTTGATTTTATAGGCCTGTCTATTGCTTGGCTAGAAGGTGGTTTCTGGGAATGGCTGCAGTTCCAAGTTAGAGTGGTGTCTTAGGGCCATAGTCTCAGAGGTTCCTCTGGTCTCTATCAGGCCAGTAAGTCTGGTCATTTTTTATGAATTTTATTTTTTGTTCTACGTTAGGCTGGTCCTTTGAAATGGAAGTTTTTGATGTTTCTTAAGCCCAACTTGGACCACTTACAAGCATTTGGTTTCTGCACCAACCCCCTTTGCTTTCTCAGACTCTTAAAATAAGATGTGTTTGAATGAGAGACAGAAGCCAAGAGAGAAAGTAAGAAGCTGAAACTTGCTTGAATGATTTTAATGAAATCCTACTGTAATGCTGAAGCCCAGAAGAGAAATTCACTGGTGGGGAATCTGGACCATTTTGGCTGTGAGCAGCTATCCCACAAACCCATCAATCCTTTGTCACTCACGTGTGGGGCCACAGTCCCTTCTCCTGAAACCAGGAGGTGACATCCCGGCCCTAGTGAAATGATTAGAAAGTAGATAAGGGAATCCAGAGGAGAGATCAGCATAGACTCTAGGGCATGACTGGAGCTAGTCTTAGGGATCCATTCAAGAGTCAAACTTGACTGCTTATATTTTTAAACTATTTTAGTATCAAAATCTTTTTAAAATTATGCATAGAAACACAATCTATGGAACATAGGAAATCTCAGCTGCTCTGATTGAATTGAGACACATACATGGTGGGGAAGAATCCACACACCTCCCCTCCTGTCACAGTAGGCCCACGGCACCTCTGCTGAAGGAACTCCAAGAAGTAAAGTTAAAAACTGCCAATTAAGAGTTCTCCTTGCCATAATGATGGAGTAGCTTGTATGGGACCAAGTCTCCTGCAGATACAGATTATGAACTCTGGAGAGGACATAAAAAGTAATTATTTGAAAGCTAGAGAGCAGGCAGAAACTAGAGAGGAGTAGATAAATGGGAGAAGGGAATGGCACCAAGTGAGTTTCCCATTTTACAACTTTTCAACTGAAATGAGGGTCCAGTTGGATCTTTGTGGGGCGAGTAAAACTCAGAGAGATACCCTCAGTCTTTTTCTGGTTGAGCAGTCAGAGGAGACAGTTCAGGGCAACCACAGCAGCTGGAAAGTGATGACGGGAAATCCCAGAACGGAGAGATCACAGATGGGGACCCTCAAATTTTGTATATAAATGTCATCCAGATCTCTAGAAATAAGACATGTGTGGGGAAGACTCCACACAACCCAGCTAAGGCTAGAAGAACTGAACTGAGATTTCAGCTGTTGCCCATCACAGGGGCGACAGAGTTTGAAACTTTATTCCAGCAAAGTTAGCTGCCTGCTAAAACAAAAACTTAATATTCTCCTAAAATAATACACTACAGTTGCATTATTTAATATGATAGCCACTAGCTACTCCAAAGGAGCCCTGGTGGCACAGTGGTTAAAGCTCTCAGCTGTGAACCTAAAGGTCGGCAGTTTGAACCCACCAGCCGCTCCACAGGAGAAAGATGTGGCAGTCTGCTTCTGTAAAGATTTACAGCCTTGGAAACCCTGTGGGACAGTTCTCTGTCCTTTAGTGTTGTATGAGACAGAGTCAACTCGATAGCAGTGGGTTTGGTTTTTGGGTTTAGCTACTCCAAATTAAGACGTACTGTAAGTGTAAAATACACACCAGATTTCAAAGATTTAGTATGAAAAAAGATTGTAAAATATCTTAACTTTTAATATTGATTACATGTTAAAATGATTATATATTTGATATATTGGGTCAAATAAAACATATTATTAAATTTAATTCACCTGTTTAATTTTTTAATATGACTAGAAAATTAAAATTACATATGTGACTCACATTATATTTCTATTAAACAGTACTGCTGTTCATTCACAATGTTTATTGTTCACAATGTTGAAGATAAAATCTAAAGTTGCCAGACATACAAAGAAACAGAAAAATATAGCCTTCACGAAAGATAACAGGCAATTAATGCAGACTGACTCCAAGAGGACATGTGTTGGAGTTAATAGACAAAAATTTCAATGCAGCTATTAAAACTATGCTCAAAGACATAAAGAAAATATGCTCATAATCAATTAATACACAGGATATCTTAGCAGAAAAAAGAGACACTCTAAAAAAGAACCAAATACAGATTTTAGTACTAAAAAATACAATATCTGAAATTAAAAAAAGAAATTACTCAATGGGCCTAACAGCAGATTGGAGATGAAAACGAAAAAAAAAAAAAATTCAGTGAATTTGAAGATAGAGGAATAGAAATTATCCAATCTGAAAAAAAAGGAAAGAAAAGATTGGTGAAAATGACAGAGACTCAGTTCACTGTAGGTTAATATCAAGCATTCTAACATAAGTATAATTGGAGTCACACAAAGGGAGGAGAGGAAGAATTAGCAGAAAATAATAATTGAAGAAACAGTGACCAAACTCTTCCCAGATTTAGTGAAAGGCACAGGAGAGGTAACTGGGCCACATTTTCAGTGTTCCAACTACGTTCCAGATTAATTCAAAACCCCATAACAAAAGCCTATGATTATTACACCAAGTGGGCAAAGGTGGCACCACTATGGTTTTTACCTCCCATAATCTTCTAGGAGGCGGCTTTTTTTTTTTAATTAATTTTTTTTTATTGTTGTGTTTTAAATGAAGTTTACATTTCAAGTTAGTCTCCCATACAAAAATTTATGCATACATTGTTATATGACCCTAATTGTGCTCCCCATACTGTGACAGTACACTCCTCCTTTCCACCCCTGATTCCCCATGTCCATTCAACCAGCTCCTAACCCTCTCTGCCTTCCCATCTCACCTGCAGACAGAAGCTGCCTGTTT